GAACGTTTCTGAGTGGAATGGATGTCTGTGCTTAGCCCTGAAGACTGTGCAGAAGTCATTCAAAAGCAAGATGTTGCAGCAAGAGTTTTCTTGTCAGGGGGTGGATACTACATTTTCAAAGGCCCAGGAGGTACAGGGAGTTGTGTGGTTCACGGACTGAATGGCACTCAGTGTTTTTCAAGTGTACATTGTTAAACACAGTGGGTGGTGAGAGAGTAGGTTGAAGAGAGATTAGGGACTATATCTTCAGGGGTCTTATAAACTTTGATAAGCTGTTTGGACTTTTGGACAGAAAATGGTGCCTCTCACTCACATATAGGGCAGGTGCTCCACCTTGGCTGTTCTCAAATTATGGCACAAGGTCTGAGCTGCTTTGGCACTACATCCACATCATGCATTTGGTCTTTGCTTCCAGCTGCACAGATGTGAGAGGGATACCATGAAGGACACATACCAGCTCTTAACTGCCTAAGGCATAGAATGTTTCTTGCTGTAAATCATTGCCACCCCATTCACATGTGCTATAAAGAAGAGACACTGTGCTATAAACAAGACTATTCACATGTGCTATAAACAAGAAGTTTTGTAACCCTCCAGGTACAGGTATACGTTGACCCCTCCCCAAAGTCTTTGAGAGGTTATCCTCATCAAAATATCCCCTCTTTGCAACATGTATCACATTCATTTTCTCTGACTACTTTTCTGTGAACCATCAACATGGCTAGTTATCTTCTTAGGTCTTTTCTCCCCTTCTCATAGTGTATTAGTCTGCTCATGCTGTCATAACAAAATACCACATCCTGCATGACTTAAACAACAGAAATTTATATTCTCAATCTGGAGGCTAGAAATCCACAGTGAAGGTGCCAGCAGTGTTAATTTCTGGTGAGGCCTCTCTCCTTGGCTTGTAGACGGTACCTTCTCACTGCATCCTTACATGGACAGAGAGACATCTCTGGTGTCTCTTCATCTTATAAGGACACCAGTCCTATCTAATTAGGGCCACGCCCTTCAGACTTCATTTAACCTTATCAGCCCCTTAAAGGCCCTGACACTAAATACAGTCATATGGGAGTTAGAGTTTCAATATTTTCATTTGGGTTGAGGTAAGGGACACAATTCAGCCCATACCACAAAGTCTGTGTCCATTTACTGTCTTATGGTTATTAAAAGAGGTT